GACTATATATAAAGTAATTTTCCCACGGCACACCTTACACTATGTCACGGCACACTAGTGTGCCGCGGCACAGTGGTTGAAAAACACTGGGCTATAGGATGTGCAGCAAGCATATGAAATTGCACACGATGAAGCCTAAAATACAGACATGTTTTATCTATTCATTCTTTTCTTCTCTCTGGATTTGTTACTGATTTGCTCAGATTGTTCCATTCAGAAGATTTTAAGCAGTTTACAAAACTGTTTTCAATAGTAGGGTTAAAAAACTCAACTACAGTTAGAAGACTTCACATATAACTGCTCCCATATATCACATTACACATCACCAAAGGCTTTCTAGAACAGCTATGTTTACAAGGCTTTTCATAAAAATAACAGGGAGCCAAGCCAGTGGTGGGTTGCGGGCGATACGCCCTGATTCGGGCGTACCAGTGTGTGCTGGGACCAGTAGGCACCGTTCCGGTACAGTGCTTTGGAGAGCCCACCTGTCCGCTCATGTTCCTGAGCTGTATTTGACCCAACTGGGCCATATGCGCATGCTCACGCAACATACGGCGCCTACGTGACATTCCATCGAGCAGCTGGAGTGTCACAGGTGGTGGGTGTGCATGCATGCACAGCGCATGTGCATGTGGTGGGTGCCCAGCCCCATAACAGCATACTGGTTGTGACGGGATCCGGAACCCACCATGGGCCAACCATATACCGAGAGAGGTTTTTCAGAGGAAAGGGACTATCACTGATTGAGCAAAAGCAAGGTCCCTAAAAATGACATCCCTTCAGTGGCAGAACTCTACATAAATCTTTGTGATTTCCCAGATAGTCAGACCCAGGACCAAACCCAAGCCTTGACTTCTGACCATTACCACTCACTGCAAGCAATGACCACTCCATTCAAGAATGAAGAGATCTACTGCAGCACAATGCCCCCATTCCTAATCCTTGTTTGCAAAGAAGGCATGATGAATGGTACTGAATGCAGCTGAATTATTCAGTACCAGGAAGAGTCACTCTTGTGTAGTTGACCTTGGTGAAACCTGGATATAAAATTTCATATACAGGTGTCACCAAGATCATCTACAAGAGTGAGATACACAGTTTCCATCCATAGTAGATCTGAATTCTGACAATCCACTTTCTCCTTAACTGTAATCCCAGGATCAGCAACCTTCTCTAAAAAAAGAACATATGATAACAAATGAAAAATTATTCAGAATAGCCAGAATGAGGGAGGCTTTTTGATAATTAAGCATACTCTCACTTCTTTAAAGTCAGTGGAAGCCTCATTCTCATTAACAATTATCTGTACACTGCTGTCTGTCAGATCGTTACAGGCAAAGAATTAAAATGTACAGATGATATAGCTAAGACTGTCTAATTCCTTAGGAACTGTAAGCTCAAACTGACTCAAAATAACCTTGCAAGATAAACTCTATGGAATGCACACGAGTGGTCCCTAGCTAATGGTATTTCATGTAATACATGGGATGTCTCAACCCTACTTTATGCATTTGCCTTAAGTAAATTCACTGAAGCCAATTAAGGATGAAGGGGATATTTACTTGATCAGCATTACTCTCATTCTGACTAACAAATTAGCTCCCTGTTTTAAAGGGGGGGGGGTTCAATGAAATGTGTATTTTCAAAACTCTTGTGCTGCAATAAACATGCCATTGTGAAATAGCAATTTTCTTATCTAAAAATAAAATGATGTTATCTCAAGAACATGAAATACAAATAATCATTCTCATCTCTTTTATTTACAGGAGCTGCAAAGAATCAATCCTCCTTACTGTTATTCAGCCTTACCCTGTAAGTAGCAGTATTTAAAAAAAAATGTTTCCAAGCAACGTTTACTGCTTTTCTCTTCTTATTCTTGCTTTTCCTAATCTGCATAATCAAGAGCACTAGTGAAATATGAACTGTATTTTCTAAAATAAATCAAATAACAATATGCAAAAGTGGAACAGTATATTAGTAATTGAAAAACATTTTCCAACATGCATGAACATTAAAGACAAAGAGACTGAATATTGTTCAGTTTTTTTAAATTGTCAAAGTTATAAATCAGTATTTCCTCTTTTTGTTTCAATTATTATAATTCTAATATTATATATATTTATATAGAGAGAGAGAAACCTTTATTCTTTCTATTTGATTTTAAAGTGTAATATTTTTTGAGAGCAATAGGGTATTTATTCCTTCTGAGCTAGCTCCAGGAGACTAAAATCCTAGCTAAACATTTAATAAGAAATATTGGAAAGCCAAAGTGACATGGCAATTAGTGGTGAGGACTGTTTATCTGCAGGCGTGTGGTCCACAACTTAGAAGATTTTTATTCCACTATTTATATAAAATAATTTTAAATAGTTCTGCCCCTCTTAAAAAAGCATGGAATGGAGGCTTGTACGAGAATTGTAGCAAGCTAAATGTCTGGATATGTATCACCTTCGATTTTCAGAACATTAGATCTGCCCAAGCTGCATTACAGTGACATCCTTAGGTGCTGTGTCATTTCTGATCATGAAATGAAATGTTGGATTTGTCTTGAACTCTCTAGCTTTACTGTATTTAAGTGCTGAGCATATTTTTTCATGTGGAAATTTAACTACACTATGAAAAAAGAGTAATTTTAATATTATAAGGAAAATATCAAAAGCAACTTGGACCACAGACCTGATTATGTAAAATTTTCCAGAGTGAGTTTTATCATACCTGGCTAGTCTACCTTTATCACATTAATTAAATATAAACATTCTTCTGTACAGGTAACTAAGACCAGTAGGAGGAAATAAATCATATATGCATTGAATTACTGTGAAAGCATACATCTAGCTTGGTTGTGACTTACAATACAATACAATACAATACAATACAATACAATACAATACAATACAATACAATACAATACAATACAATACAATACAATAGCAGAGTTGGA